TGCTCAGCCTCCCCCGGGAGCCACCCTTGCTCCTAGCAAAGCAATGCCTCTGGCCCAGCCCCAGCCCCCCCCCCCGGGAAATTGGAAAGTCTACACCCTTGTCAGAGGCACCAGGGTGCATATCCAACAGCTAGTTTTGTGATATATACCTTTGAGGGTCTCTTTTACCTCATGACTTAACTTGACCATGGAAAAAATATGGGATGTGAGGGGGGGGGGGGGGGGAGGAACGGTATTCCTAAGCAAAATACAGCCTTGATACGAAAATAATTCAGACTTGTAAATGTCAGAAAACGATCAACAAAGTTATAAAGACAATACAGAGAATAAAAACTCACAGGTCTCGCTGATCCATGCTGTCCATGAGATTACGGCTGCAAGTGGTCCAGCATAAAACCTATACCAGCATTTTAAAAAGTCCTAGTTCTATGAACAAGAGAATTATTACGATCAGCAGAGTAATGAGAACAACACAAGAACACCATTCAGAAACCACTGGAGTTTAGCAGGTCAGTTTTAATTTTGTGTCAGACAAGGGTTGACACTTTCAGGTGCCTTCAGCTGCTGGATCCCCCTTTTCCCAGTCAGGGGGCCTGGTGTTGCTCCCTTTCCGTCTGTTTCCCTTTCTTGTAGGATTTCACATTGACCACAACTCCTGGATGAATGGAATGGGCAGCAGCATCTGTTGGCAGGGGCTGGAATCCTGCAGCACATCTGGAAAGAGATTTTAGCTGAGACTGCAGTGAGAGCACGTAAGAGGTTAGCTCGTCATCTTCCTGCAATTCCATATTTGGTCAGCCTAGCATTGGGCAAATGCTGAGTATTCTTTTGCAGGAGCAGAGGAACTGTGACGTGGCGCACTTTGACCACTAGACGGTGTCCTAATACAACTTTCTGAAAGCTGTATAGTAACAGATATTTGCTGGGACATTAGTGAGGGTGATATATGGATTTGGAACAATGTTATGCCTTGCATTTCTTTGGAACAATGTTATGCCATTATGGAATGCAGGTCTTTAACAAACCTCCGTACCACGGCTCCATTGGGACCCCTTTTGGGTTTCTTGAATGGCAACACAAGAGGACTGCAAGGAGACTGGCAAGGCATCAAAATGTCCTGTTCTAAGCAAGAGTCAAAAGGCCGCAGTCCATCTTTTGCCTCTCTGGCTCAAGTCTTGCCAAACAGTGATCTGAATGCAGGTCACTGGTTAAGGGAGCCCTACCTCTGTGCTGGAGCGTCCCCACACTGAAACAGGGAGATCAGCCAGATCATCAGGAATTTGGGTCCACTCCATTTCCACCTTGAGCACTAATTTGTGAATGGAGGTTTTTGGAGGTTTGCGTTACAAATCTCTTCCCGACAAATTTGCAGGGCTTTGAGGAGCCAAAATGAACATACGTTCCAAAGACAAAGCTCCAATTTCAACATCCAGTCTTTTAGTGATGGGACACACAAAGGGTTTTCCACTCACATCCACCAGTGTTTTTAAATAGGCAGACCTAGGCAAGTCAGTGGTAAGCAGGGTGGACATTGCTGCACCAGTATCAATCAAACAGTCATATTCCACATCTCCAATATCCACAGTCACACGAGAACCTTGGGGAGTATCTTTGACAACAAGTTCAGGGAACCAAGGGATTTCTGACCAAAAATCAGTGAAGCCACCCATTTTATTGGCCTCTTTTAACACTTCTACCACTCCCCATTGTTCACAATAATCAGGATCAGAATAATAACCAGGTAGTTCTCCCAGAGCCTCTAGGTTTCTGCAGTCACCCTGCACGATCCAATTCATCATTTACAAACTGACCTTCCTGGAGTTGTCAGTACAAACTTTCCTTACCTCTGGGATGAGTCGAATAATCATGTTTCCAATGACCAGGCTGGGGACAATAATGACTCAAATCATCATCCTTAAATCTTCCTATATTTCCACTACTTCCTCTACCACCTGCAGTCACAAATGCTGCTGCCAACAATATCATTGGAACTTCTGCCTCTTCTTCTTCTGCTTTTCCTCCCTGGTATTAAACACCCGTGTGGCAGTAACCACCAGCTTATCCATACTCTTTCCATCAACATTCTCAGTGTTCTGTAACTTCTGCTTAATATCTGGAGTACTCTGATTAATGAAAATCAAGTGCACAATGTTCGACTTATTTCGATCATCTAAATCTGTCCCTCCATATCTATGCATTGCCTTAAATAGTCTGTCCAGAATTAAGAGGGATGGTCCTCTGATCCCTTAGACAATTTCCAGTGTGATCTTCCACCTTCTTAGGGCCTTCAAGTAAAGCCTTTAGTCTATGCATTCCATCCTCAGAGTTCTAATCCCACCTGGAATCTTCCTTTGGCACAGTATTAAAATTGGGGATCCCTCCCATCATTGTCCTCTAAATGATGGTTTGCATGTTTCAACACTTGACTTTTTGCATCATGTTAATAATGCACTTAACAATTGCATACGGTCAGAATAGCTAGGTTCATGAGTAGCAAACATTGCCTTCAAGCATCTCTCTACCAATTCTGGATCATCTCGCAGGCACGGAGTATTGGCTTCCCAATTAATTAAATCAGAGGTATTAAAGGGCATATGACTCCTGCTAGTTAGGATGGTTTTGTTTCCTCCAGGCACTGGATAGGAATGGAGTGGGGCAGTGAAGGTTGGTCCTTTGGGCATATTTTTACCAGATCTGGTATTAAATGGTGAATTTTTTGGAGCACTCTTTTGCCCTTTTGATTTGACAACCAGTTGTCTTTCACTCAAATTGGGGTATAGGGATACCCCAAAGGTGCCTTCCCCCACATCAGTGGTGGTAACGGAGCTTGGATGGTCTAGACCAGAATCTGTGTATCCTCTGGAATCAGCCACTGGACCAGAATCAGCCACTGGACATTCTGTGGACAGCCATATTGTTACAAAAGATGAAAAATAATTATTATGAAAAAATAAAAATAATAATAGAGTTGCAAAGGGGCTTGCACCTCTCAACTAATATAAGTCATAAAGACCAGTGCCTGGCCAGTGAAGTGAGTGCCAGTGTTTGTGTGCCCCCCGCCTTCCCTTCATATAGAGACATCATAAATGGTAAAGGTGTCCCTTGCTCAAAAGCCAGTCGAACCTGACTCTAGAGGGTGGTGCTCATCTCCGTTTCCAAGCCGAAGAGCCAGCACTGTCAGATGACTTTTCTATGGTCATGTGGCCAGCATGTCTAACTGAAAAGGCACATGGAACACTGTTACCTTCCCACTGAAGTGGTACCTATTTATTTACTTGCAATTTCTTGTTTTTGAACTTTTAGATTGGCAGGAGCTGGGGCCAGAGACAGGAGCTCACTCTGTCATGTGGCTGTAGGGTCTTGAACTGCTGAGCTACTGAACGTCTGGTCTGCAGCTCAGTGTCTTAACCTCTGAGCCACTGTGGCCCCTAAGAGACATAATAGGGACACTTATTTTCCAGAAGCTGGAACTATCCATTGTAAATAAAGAAGTGGAGAGTTAAATGTGACCCTCTGTTGTTATTAGTGTTGCATACTGAGATGTAAACATGAACTAATATCTCATGGTATTTTTTAGAGAAACAAATAAGCATTGAAGAAGATGTTCTTGGAAAAAGCACCACCACAAGACAAAGTTTGTGTTAATTTGTGGAGAAAGCCTAGAGTGAGAAAACAAGAATTGGTAAACAAACAGGAAGCAAAGGTTCATTAACACTCCTAATGTTTGTTGAGTGAACCACAGAAGAACAAAAACCATGTCTGTAAAGTCAGAGAACAAAGGGATTTGAACATAATTAACATTTGTCCAAAACAACTCAGTCAATCGTTTTTATAACCTTCGTTCATTTAATAATTAATCTGTGCCCAACTAATTAAGTGGAACGTCAAACATCAACACCCCAAATAGTTCCAGCATTATATGTATATATATATATATATAAAGTGCAAACATATTCTTATTCTGGTACTTGTTCATAAACATTCCCTTCTAAAATGGGCCAGTGAGATACATCGATGCTTTCAATATGGTGTTTTGTTTTGATTTCTTTTTTTCTGTATTTCACCACAACTTTTCTTGAATCATACAATATTGTGGGGATACATAAATTTCTATTTCAAAAGGAACTTACTATTGAACAGATACAGGCACCAGTTACTGGGGCTGCAACTCTATGCATGCTTACCCAGAAGAAAGTCTCATTAACCTAGTAGGACTTATTCCTGAGTAGAAAGATCTGTACAAACCTGTGTTCCTGGAGAGGAAAGCAAGCCACACAAAACATTATCAGCCCAAATGCTATTGAAACGGCTGTTCAAGTTATTGATGATTCCCTCTCCAGACCCTTGGGCTGGTCAAAGAGAAGGGCCTGGCTTTGTTCTTTCTTCATATCCCCAGATGGCGCAGGGCCTTTCTTGAATTATTAAGCAGAAGCACCTAACTCGCAAAACCCCTGCCAGCCTTTCATGGTGCAATCCTATGCAGTGACTCCAGTCTAAACCTGATGGTGACATTTTGTTAATAAGGTAGATGTACCATTTTTGAATCTGCTCTGATTTTCATACAAAGAAGTTTGGTACAATCTGATAACTAGCCTGCAAGTACTTGTACGGTGTTCACCTACTTCTCACCGGTTCTGTGAAGGGGAAGTGCTTCTCCTGCTACTTCTCCTGCTTCTCTCAGTCGAGCCGTCTGAATACCTGGTTTAAGAAGAAGGGCAGAGCTTGTTTGGCAGAAAATTGTTTCCTGGCTTTTGGCGTCAGTGTTTACCTTCCATATAATTATGGCTATGAAAAGAAATGTTAAATGTTCCTGATTGGTCCCCTTTAACAAAGGAAGAAATACATTTGGCAACCAGGCCTAAGATTTAAAGGTTGACTCTTGGTATAAATACAGCAGGTAGAAAATATTTTCGATCCACTTTGCCACTGGAAGACATCAAAAAGAAGACAGGATGCGACTCTGCTTTGTGGTTCCAATTCTCGTCTTTCTCCTTTGCCTAAAGGAAACCATGTCGGTAAGGCCGCCTCTTGCTCTTGACAGTAATTTCACTTATTTAATTAACATTTAGAATGGTATTTTATGCACTGCAGAGTCAGAATCGCAAGCTTGTTAATGCAACAGAACACTGCAGCGAGCAATAATGGAATGGGCCTGATAAACTGTTACGTTTTCACTCTATGTGCACAAGGCAACAAATCCCATTAGAGAGAGAAAATACGGGGGAAGTGAGGTTGACTTGCCTACTTTCCCTCCCTCTGCACTTTAGTAAAATAAATGGAGTTGACAAAGAAACTATAGATGAAGCCTATTCCATTTTCCTAGGAGGTAAGTCCAATGCAAATCAATGGGGCTCATCCCAAGGTAATTAACTTTCTACAGGAGTGAAGCTGTAGGGAGATACCCTAATCAGGTTTCCTCAGAAGTAAATCCCATATTATTCGATGAGACTTAATTCCAGGAAAATGTCACTGCAACTATCATGGTAAAATGGTGGTTTTCAACATATGAAGATCTTTTATCCCATTCTAGCACATGATCTACACTCTGCATGTTCTGTAGAATATGCAAACACACACGCACAAACACATACACACACATGCTCACCAGTGTTCCCTCTAAGCTGAGTTAGTGTGAGCTCACTCACAGTTTTTTAGCCTCCAGCTCACATATATTTGTCTTAGCTCAGGAAAGATGACTCCAGAGCAAACTAATTTATGCAGTAGCCAAATCGCTCGCTCACAGCTTTAATGCCAGCAGCTCACAAAGTAGAATTTTTGCTTACAAGACTCCACAGCTTAGAGGGAACATTGATGCCCACACAGAAGTAGGAACCCAGAAGGAAACTTCAGGCACTGCCATTGCATACCCTCCGCTTTTGCTTCCTCCCCTCTCCCCCATCCGTTCTCTCACATCCTCTCTTCTCTCTCTCTCTCTCTCTCTCTCTCTCTCTGTCTTCTCTCCCTCATTCTTTCTCTCATTATTTGTCCCCTAACCTCTGCTGTCAATCCTTCCTTTTGCATTCCCAATGCCTCCTGAAACACTCACCCACTCTCTCTTCCCCCAGTGACTCCCTATCTCATATACAGACACACACTACATTTTAAATTTCTTTTTCTTTCTTGTCCCTCCAGGCTCACACACAAAGACAAAGACTCTCTATCCTCAATTTCTCTCTCTATTGCCACTCTTGCTTAGGATGAGAAAAAATATGCTGTTGGTCTTCCACTTATTTTATACTGACTGATACAGTTAGAGGAAGTAGTGAAAATGTTTATGGCGGGTACTTTCAAACTACTTCAATGTACTTTGGCAGTGGTTTGCAAGTGTATTTTTACATTTCACAGTAAAATATGTTAGCTAAGTGCATTGAGGGTGTATTGAAAGTGCAATATTCAATGTGTGTGAAAATGCCTTCGACACACCAAACATATAAACTTTTTGCCCTGGAAAAGCAAAAAGAAAAAGAAAAAAGACAAAGTAGACAAGTCAACACTAATTTTGAAACTGAGATGATTTAGTTCTTTGTGATCAATAAGAATAAAGATTTTTGATGAACATGTTTTGATTGAAGAAGCCTGTAGATCAGTCATGAAACTTTGAGGAAGAGAAGGAGGGAGGGAGGGAGGGAGGGAGAGAGAGAGATAATATGATTATAGTGTCATCCAGAACTTGGGAACAGGTCACCTCTGACATGTGGGTTGTTAATTGCAATGCCATAATAAATGTTTCTAACAATAGATCAAGTATGGAGGTCTGAGTTGGAAGGAAGGAAGGAAGGAAGGAAACCATGCGCATGAAGGAATAATTGCTTGTTTTTTAATATATGTAGGGACCTCTTTCCATTGCAGAATGGGTGAGTATCACAATTTTTTGTCATTTTTTTAAAGTCACCCTTTTGTAAAGTCATACAATAAAAACACCAAAGGCTACCTTAACTGCCTGACTTACTATATTCTGGGTCAGGTGGCACAAAACTCTGGTTCATTAGTACAGGTTGCTACATGGTATGGCCTATAGTTCTGGCAAACACAAAGCAGCAAGACAGGCCTTCAATCTTGTAGAACCACAATCATCACTGGTACTAGTGACATATTACAGTTATACTTTTAGAGTCAGGAGGTCAGGTGAGATCACCAACCAGTCAATACCCACCTCTTCAGGATGCTTTGAGAACCTTATGTAATAGACCTTGCTCCTAACCCTCCCATCTGAAGGAACAAGTAGCAATTGTCAAATTAATTTACAACCTTGGTGTTATGTCCTTGAGAGATGATAAGGAAGCAGGCCAGTGTGGCCAATTATCATGACCTGCAAGGATCATTAAAATTAACATTAACACTTAAGTGTATGATGAAATCCAGGTTTGCCTCACAGTGTTCGATAGGAATAAGATTTTTTTATGAATGTGAAAATTTATAGATTTGTCATGAAGCTTTGAGGAAGGAAGGAAGGAAGCCATAACTATGACCATGATGGAATAATTGCTTGATTTTTTTTAATATGTAGGCTCCTGCTGTTACGAATTTGGTGAGTATCACAACTTTTATGGCTATTGTGAAGAATACTCCCCCATTCCAATTCTGCTTTTGGAATGCCATTATTATCCAATGGTGGTTCTTTGTTTTGAGGGTTAAGTTGAAAGGCAATATATGCGTGTATTGTAAATAAAATAAATACATGATAAATAACACCCCTGATTCTCCCCTTTGAAAGTAATAGTAACACAAGCTATTGTTCCACATAGGAGGTTTTTGAGTGTGTTTGCTTAGTTCTTGGTGCACAGCATCATGAAACCTAAGAGTAGGAAATTGGTCAAAAATAAGACTTACTATCCTCCTCCCTTTTAAAGTATTACTATGAACAGCACATTCTCTTCAGCCAACTAAGAGTGGACAGGAATGTGGCCTTAATGGATAGAAGCAGTTTTTCACATATAATTTAAACTGTTCAGAATGAGAACAGTCATTGTGGTATTGTTTCAGTCACTTTAGAATCTCAGGTGAATGAATGAAAACATTTAGGACTGGACTTGGTGTGCATCTAAGAAATACCCTATCAGAAAGACTCCCCCCCTTCAAAAGCAGAAGAGGAACTGATAAATTGCCTAGCGAGTCAAACTCTACTCCCTTGCCTGACCCCACAAAATCTGGTCCACTGCTAAATTGGGCCCTCCTCCCAGTTTGTTTTAATGGATTTTTTTAAAAAAAATCATTTTATTTGTTTATGAACTCAAACAGGACTCTAGAGGGTGGCACAAAAATCTCCCAAAGCAATCATCATCCAATCTCCCCATTTCAAAAGGGACAGGAGAAGCAGATTATTCATCTCCTTTATTCTATTGCCCTAGAAATTTGATCCTGTTGTTTGCAGCCCCAGCCAACAACTTGGGCTGGGGATAACAGAGGTGACCTGTTTCATCCCACTCAAGATGGAAACCTTTAGTCATTTTGAAAAGTATGCAGGCGGAGAGTGATTTCAGCTAAGCATACCTTTATTTAGTTCAGAACAAAGACAACTGACCGGCTCACAGGCCGGTTTATATGCATTCAGAAAACCCGTTACCAAGCTCACCTAAACACACACCCCACTCCCGATAGGCTATTTACAGTAACCGAGAGACCCATTGGCCTCCTGGCTGGGAACCTAGCCCTTTCATTGGGCTGGCTAGGATCCTTCGGATCAATTGTCTTTAGACTGCAGCTATTGCGGAATTGTGCCTGACCAGCCCGGGCAAGTCCGGGCATGTAAGGCTGAATACATTACACATTGAGAAGAGGAGCAATCTCTTCCATAATTTTCTGCATCTCCACAAGTTTGGAGTAGAGCAAAGTTTCCAGGATGGGAGATTAGAAGAGCCCGATATCCAGCTGATCCCAAAAATCAACCGACATTCAGCTCCTCTTTCTCCCATTGCCAAAAAGATAAAGAAAGAGCCCCTTTGCCTGGGCACAGAATAAAATTTCTCCAGCAGATATTCAGAAGCCAACTCCAGGGGTATCACTGCTCAGCGGAGAGTTGGCTTTTGGCCCTTTCCACACTCTCCTGCATTAAATTCAAATCCAACGTGCTTTTTATTCCGGGTTTTTCTCTTGTCCTGCATTACGTTACCTCCCTTCAGTGGTTGGCTTGGTTTCAACCCGCCGTTGCCTCAGGTTTTTTGGATACTATTTTGCTGTGGATATAAATTGCCTTGACTTGAATGTTGGAAAATCCAGAGAGGCAGGCAAATATGGAAAGGACTTTTGATAGTGGCAAGTAGCCTATTCCTGCGAATACACACAAACAGGTTGTGAGCAGCCAGAGAATTCATAGAGTCTGATCGCCACTGGTGGACAGGGCATGAAACAAACTGTCATGTGTTTTAACATTCCTATCTGCTACCCAGTGCTGACCCTTGCTTTAATAGCTCAAAATCTGCCATGAAACCCAGGGCAATGAAGAGCCCTTTGGTCAGAGTTAAGCATAAGTTGCCTTTGGCAGGGTCGGGGGTTTCACCCACTGCCCTGCCATTTTGAGCATTGAGTCCAGGACTGGACACACTGCTAGCAAAGAGTCAGCTTATGACAGTGGCAAGAAGTGTGTTCTTGGCAAGTAGTAAAATAAGTGGCAAGTAATAAAATAAGTGGAGTTAACCAAGAAACTATAGATGAAGCCTATTCACTTTTCCTAGGAAGCAAGTCCAATTCAAATCAATGGGGCTCATCCCAAGGTAATTAACTTTGCACAGGAATGAAGCCATAGGGAGACAGCCTAATTAGGTTTACTCAGAAGTAAGTCCCATATTATTCAATGGGACTTAATTCCAGGAAAGTGCCATTAGAACTGCAACTATCATGGTGAAATTGAGGTTTTCAACACATGAAGATCTTTTATCTCATTCTAGCACATGATCCACCCTCTTCATGTTCTGCAGAATATACAAACAGAAATACGCGCGCGCACACACACACACACATAAGTGGGAACCCAGAAGGAAATCTCAGGCACTGCCATTGCATTCCCTCAGTGTTTGCTTCCTCCCCTCTCGCCCACCCCTTCTCTCACTTCCTTTATTCTCTCTCTCTCTCTCTCTTCACTCCCTCATTCTACCTCCCCAATGCCAGTCTTTCTCTCATTTATCTGTCCCCTAACCTCTACTGTCAACCCTTCTTTTTTCATCCCCAATCCCTCCTGAAACACACTCACCCACTCTCTCATCCCCCAGTGACCCTGTATCACACACACAGGCTACATTTTTAATATCTCTTTCTTTCTGTGTCCCTTCAGTCTCTCACACACAACGGCAAAGACTCTCTATCCTCAATTTCTCTCTCTATTTCCACTCTTGCTTTGGATGAGGAAAGATATGTTGTTGGTCTTCCACTTATTTTATACTGACTGATGTAGCTAGAAGAGGTAGTGAAAATGTTTATGGCGGGTACTTTCAACCCACTTCAATGTACTTGCAAGTGTATTTTGCCATTTCACAGTAAAATATGTTTGCTAAGTGCATTAAAAGTGCAATATTCAATGTGTGTGAAAATGCCTTCGACATAGCAAACCGAAGCTCTGATCACACCAGCGAGGAACTGCGGGCGGGAAGGGAGGCTGTTTGCCCTGGGGCGAACTGATGTGCATTTGCATGATCAGACTTCTGCCCACCTGCCACCGCAGTTCCGGATACTACTAGCCTTTCCCCAGTGGCTTTTTGCGATGCTTCTGCGGTGCAACAAGAAGCCCTGCCAATGACTCCAGGATGCTGGACAGATGTGTCCATCTGATCACGTCCCTTTAATCCGCGGGGGAATCGCATGTCTGTCACAGCTTCTGGTACGTATGATCGCAGCCCAATATGACCTTTTTGCCCTGGAACAGCAATAAAGAAGCCAAATCAACACTAATTTGGAATTTGAGGTGATTTATTTCTTTGTGATCAGTAGGAATAAAGATTTTTGATGATCATGTTTTGATTGAACAAGCTTTTAGATCTGTCATGATGCTTTGAGAGAGGGAGGGAGGGAGTCCATGAGCATGAAGCTATAATTCCTTGTTGTTGTTTCTTATATGTAGGGACAAGCTGAACTTCCAAATTTGGTGAGTATCACAACTTTTTAGAGTATTGTGGAAAATAATCTGATCTGGAAGAACCAGATTTGATTCCCCACTCCTCCACATGCAGATGCTGGTGTGACCTTGGGTCAGTCGGAAGATCTCTCAGAGCTGTTCTCTCAAGGGCAGTCATCAAAAGAGCTCCCTCAGCCCCGCGTACCTCACAGGGTGTCTGTTGTGGGGAGGGGAGAGGAAAGGAGATTGTAAGCTGCTCTTAGACTCCTTCAGGTAGTTAAAGGCGGGGATTAAATCCAACCTCTTCTTCTTCTCTCTCTCTCTCTCTCTTCTTGTGCTTTTGGAATGCAACAATTACCCAATAGTGGTTGCTTGTTTTAGAGGTTTTAGTTAAAAGGCAATATACCCTTGTATTGTAAATAAATTAATACATAATAAAAGCACCCTTGATCCACCCCTGTGAAAGTTAGAGCAGCACAAGCTATTGTTCTGTGTATGAAGTTTTGAATATGTTTCCTTTGTTCTTTGTGCACAGCATCACGAATCCTAAGAATTGAAAATGAGGGATAAATAAGACTCACTAGATCCCTCCCCTCTAAGCTATTAAAAACAAGAGGACTTTCTTCTCCACTGAAGAAGAATGGGCAGAAATGTTGCCTTAATGGGAAAATGTAGATTTTCACATTTAATATAAACTGTTCAGGATGAGAATGGACATTGTTGTAGTGTTTTAATCAGTTCATACTGCCAGACCCAGGTAGATGAATGAATGGGAAGGTTTTGGAGTGGACTTTGTGTGAAACTAAGACCTATCAAATCAGAAAGACTTTGTTGTTCTTGGAAAGTAAGAGGGAATCTAAAAAAAAACCCTAGCGCGTTAAAGTGATACACTTAAGGCAGGGACAAATTACAGCCTGTTTTGCATAAGAAGGTTTCTATCAAAGCTTTTTGAATGAATGGGTTTGTATGTTAGCTGTGAGGTTTGTATGTCAAAACCAAAACTATAGAGATCAGCTTACCTGGTGAAATGGCTGCTTTGGAAAGTGGACTGGGTGGCATTTTATCCCCATGAGGCCCATCCCCAAATCTCTGAGAATTTCCTAACATGGAGCTGGGAGTCTTATTTGTATTGGAGGAAAGTGCTGCTGCTCCCAGCCTCAATCCATGGAATCCAGGTCTCTATTTTTAATGTTTTAGCAGTTGTACGCCACCTTGGACAGCCTTATTTTATTTATTCAGGACTAGGAATAAGGCCCATTGTGGAAATAAATACAATGAGCTTTCCATCTCCTCCCGCCATCTACAGCCTCTACCAAGGAAAAGTACAGTCTTTCTCTGCAGTGGGGACCAAAGCAGCTTACATCATTCTCCTCTCCTCCTTTTGACTTGCACAACAACCCTGTGAGGTAGGTTAGGCTGAAAGTCTGTGACTAATCCGAAATCACCCACTCAGCTTCTACAGCAAGAACCTGGATATAGTAGACCCTGCTCTGAAGTACTGACTGCTATGCCTAGGGCAGCCAACCTCCAGGTAGAGCCTGAAGATTACCAGGTATCACAACTGAACTCCAGACAACAGATCTCTCCCCCCCTGGAGAAAATAACTGCTATTTCAGTTCATACTCGCCTGTTCTAGAAGTCTTGTCTGTTGCAAGGGGAAATTGGCGGGTAAGGAATAGTTCTAGGGGTAGTTACTAATTCACACTGCCAGAACTAGCCAGCTACCGGTAGTGTGGGTGGATCTTATTGGCTGCGCATCCCAAAGAGATCTGGTAAAGACAAAGAGTTTTAAAGCAGGAAAGAGGGGGGGGGGATAGTAGAATGTGGCCAGCCAGAAGACCTGAAGCATGGTCTTGCGTTGATGGTAGAATGTGGCTAGCCCAGCACTTAAAGCATGGTCTTTGCGTTTTATAGTTGAATCTCCAGGTGGGTGGCATCTTAACAAACTGCAATCCCACCTACTTATAAGTCCATCCCATGACCTCCTTCATTGGTGCATGTAGAAAAGAAGCAGGTATTCTATGGGTGGGGCGATATTTGAAACGTTACACTCTATCTCATGGAATACCATCTGGCCAGGTGTGAAGTCTCAGCTTTAGGAAATCTCTTTGTTGTGCAAATGACTCTTGGCTTCACCAGGCTGACAAGATACCATCAACAAGAAACAGCAATTCAGATGCAGATCAAGTCCGTTTTTTGCGTGACATCCTTTCTCTTTAGCAATGGGGGAATCTCTCCTCCTTGGTTGTTGTTCTGCTCACAATGGGTAACATGTGCTTCTTCTTCCCATAATGCCCTGAGCTGAATGTGTGCAAGCCACATTAACATAAAATGCAGGCAAGCGTTCCCTATGTGAAACCTCTCTCTCACAGTAGGTGATGCAAACAGCTTCCTTTGGCCTATGGTATACAGATGTGTGCACAGTCCATTTGTTGCGTGTGTAGCAGATATAAAACCATAAATTAGTCCATTTCTCAACATGTGCAAAAGAGACTTTAAATCTAGGGTTTATATAAAGGTATTACAAATTTGGCATAAGCGTGTTAAATATTTGGAACTAAAATTTCCCCCCATTTGTGTTAGTATGTTTATCTACGTTTATCTCTGTTGTGTGTATTTAAAAAAAAGAAAAATATTATATAAAAAAGCTATCCATCAAACAGAAGCAGACCATTGGGAAAAGAAATCCATAAAATAAACCCCCTAAATAAAACCTGGGTTTAAAACCCCTGTGTTTGGCCTGGTGCCTAAGGGAAAACAAAGGGACCCTGGGAGTCTGATCTATCCTTACAAGACTTGAAGTAATCAGCTGCTTTTCTCCAGGTTTGCAAAGGGGAAATGAGATGAAAATTACTTCTGCCCCACCCCGTTTGTTTTAATGGCGTTTTTAAAAAAACAAACAAACAAACATATGTTTGTGTGAATATGTTTGTATGTATGTCACCTTAAGCAGGACTCTAGTGAGGTTGCATAAAAATCTGCCAAGAAAATAACACAAAGGCATCTCCATCTGATTTCCACCATTCCAAAAAGGACAGGAGAATGTTTATTTCTCTCCTTTATTCTGTAGCCCTAGCAATCTGCTCCTGTTCTTTGCAGCCCCAACTCATAGTTTGGGTTGGGGAGAATAGATGTGACCTGCAGAGAATAGATGTGATGTTTGATAGGAATAAGGGTTTTTTTTATGAATGTGTTCTCAATGAAAAAGCTTATAGATCTCTCATGAAGCTTTGAGGAAGGAAGGAAGGAAGGAAGGAAGGAAGGAAGGAAGGAAGGAAGGAAGGAAGGAAGGAAGGAAGGAAGGAAGGAAGGAAGGAAGGAAGGAAGGAAGGAAGGACCATGATGGAATAATTGTTTGATATTTTTTTTAATATGTAGGCTACTGCTGTTACAGATTGGGTGAGTATCACAACTTCTTTGACTATTCTAAAAAATACCACCACCACCCCATTCCAATTCTGCTTTGTAATGCCATGATTATCCAATGGTTGTTGTCTGTTTTGGGCAATGTTGAAAGGCAATGTACCCATGTATTGTAAATAAAATAAATACATGACAAATAACACCCCTGATTCACCCCTTTGAAAGTTAGACTAACACGAGCTATTGTTCCACATAGGAAGATTTTGAATGTGTTTGCTTTGTTCTTGGTGCACAGCATCATGAAACCTAATAGTAGGGAAATGGTTAAACAGAAGACTTACTATTCTCCTCCCTTTTAAAGTATTACTATTAACAAGTCTTTCCCCTCCATCAAGTAAAAGTGGACAGGACTGTGGCCTTAATGGAAAGATGCAGTTATTCACATATAACATAAACTGTTCAGGATGAGAACAGTCATTGCAGTATTGTTCCAGTCACTTAAGAATCTCAGGTGAATGAATGAAAAAGTTTAGGACTGGACATAGTGTGCAACTAAGACAAACCCAATCAGAAAGACTCCCCCCCCCCTCAAAAGCAGAAGAGGAACTGAAAAACTGCCTAGAGAGTCAACACTCTCCTCCCTTGCCAGGCCCCGCAGAATTTGGTCCACTGCTAAGGTGGGCCCTCCTCCCAGTTTGTTTTAATGGATCTTTTAAAAAATAATTATTTTATTTGTTTATGAACTCAAGCAGGACTCTAGAGAGGTGGCACAAAAATCTCCCAAATAAATAACACAAAGGAAACTTCATCCAATCTCCCCATTTCAAAAGGGACAGGAGAAGCAGATTATTCATCTCCTTTATTCTATTGCCCTAGAAATTTGCTCCTTTGCAGCCCCAGCCGACAACTTGGGCTGGGGAGCACAGGGGTGATCTGTTTCTTCTCTCTTCTCACTGAAGCCTTTAGTTATTGAGATGAGGAGCAATCTCTTCCATGATTTTCTGCATCTCCACATGTTTGGAGTAGAGCAAAGTTTCCAGTACAGGAGATTAGAAGTGCCCATTATCCAGCTGATCCCCCATATCAACCAACATTCAGCTCCTCTTTTTCCCACTGCCAAAAGAAAAAAGAAAAGAAATAACTCCTTTGCCTGGGCGCAGAGGAAAATTTCCCCAGCAGATATTCAGAAGGGGTATCACCGTTCAGCTGATAGTGGCAAGTAGCCTATTCCTGCGAATACACACAAACAGGTTGTAAACAGCCAAACAATTAATAGATTCATCAACTGTCTGATCACTACTGGTGGACAGGTTTTGAGGCAAACTGGCATGTGTTTGAACATTTCTATCTGCTATCCAGTTCTAACCCTCAACAGAGCCCTTAAGCAAGAGAACCACACAGGCCTCCCAATTTATAGATCAAACTACAGAACAGATCGTACTTGATTGCTGTATCCATTTAGAGTACAGAGAAGAGCTCATTATCCCTGTTGAAGGTTTATTCTGTGTCACCCCCTGCTAAGGTGACAGGTCTTCTGAGGGACAAACACAATAAGTCACTCTGTCAGTAGCTAAATTTCTCTCAGTTGTGGTTTCTTCCCACTCCAGACTGAAACCTTTAGTGACTGAAAACAGGAGCAATCTCTTCCATAGTCTCCCTTATTTCCACCAGTTTTGAATCCACCCAGTTTTCCTTGGATGGGAGAAGAGTCCAATATCCAGCCAATCCCCAACTCAACTGAGATTCAGCTCCTCATTGTCTATCCAAAACGGGGATGGTGGGGAAAAGGAAAAAAGATCCCCGTTGCCCTGGGCACAGGGGAAGCAAAAATGGAATGGACCTGATGTCTCATATTTTTTCACTCTATCTGCACAATGCAACATATCCCATGATATGGGGGAAGTGAGGTTCACTTGCCTATTTTTCCTCCCTTTGCACTATAGTAAAATAAATTGAGTTGACCATGAAACTATTGATGAAGCCTATTCAGTTTCCCTAGGAAGTAAGTCGAATTCAAATCAATGGGGCTCATCCCAACCTAATTAACTTTCTATAGGAATGAAGCCATAGGGAGACACCCTAATCAGGCTTACTCAGAAGAAAGTACCATATTATTCAATGGGACTTAATTTCAGGAAAGTGTTATTAGGACTGAAACTATTACAGTGAAATCGAGGTTTTCAACATATAAAGATCTTTTATCCCATTCTAGCACATGAACTACACTCTGCATGTTAGGCAGAATACAAACACACTCACACGGGAGTGGGAACTCAGAAGCACACACACACACACACACACACTCACACGTGAATGGGAACTCAGAAAGAAACTTCCAGAACTGCTATTGCATTGCC